GCAATTCAGGACATCGATTTGCTAAACGTAATACATCCTCATTTGTTGTATCCACATCAACACTTAATATACTTGCCAGTTGGTCCAAGATCAATTCATGTAGATCAAATTCGAGACTATAAGATAAAATACATTAGTATTTATTGTGATCATTAAATGATCAAGAAATTATGTCGAATGTACCTATCCATCAAAAGTTCAATAATCAAGAAATAAGGACAAAAAAAGAAAGATTCGTTTTTTTGGTATTTTTGGATAGAAGTTTGCAACTAGATTAGAAATTTTTAATCAAGTAAAACCGAGCATCCTGTCAAAAGCTTAAATTAGCTGAAGATCATGGGTACACAACAGCACTATTAACATATATAGTAAAATGCCATAGGAGTACATTCATGTTATTGGCTAAATTATGTTGATCGATACATGACTGGTAACCAATCAAATCGAAGAAATTCATTAGAAATTAGTGATTGGACACCGATCGGCAAAAAGCGAGTTTATTTAATATACAGCTTGTGATCTATTTTTTGACTTGCGAGTTAAAACATTACATGTTTCAAATTAAGTTATCCGAGTTTGTTTGACGAGTCAAATCACCAGAAAAAACGGATCTATTACATATCACATATTATATACTAGTAAAAAATTCTATTTTTTTTGTTTATTGCTGTTACTAGGGACGTATTGCTCTTAGGTTAATATTATTAAACATTTATATCTATTTTTCACTTACATTTAATCTAGAGTTGTTAATTAAGTAGCATATTCCAGTGTTATATTAAATTAACCCAACTTAGGTTGGAGAATTAACTGGTCTGTATGATAAGTTCTGTAAGCAAATTAAAAAAAATAAATTTGATTTTTTTTTTTTCAGTTTCAGAATAGAAATGATAAGGTCTGTAAGCAGATTAAAAAAAGAAATTTGATTTTTTTTTGTTTCAGTTTCAGAATAAAAATGATAAGTTCTGTAAGCAGATTAAAAAAATAAATTTGATTTTTTTTTCAGTTTCAGATTAGGAATGATAATTTTTCGCTAAACGCAAAGCATTGTTGAATATGTAAAATTCATTTATTTTTATAGAAATTAGATTTTATCACAAATTGCAAAATTTAGATCTAAAATTTGATTCATGGTTTTAAATAAATTTTTTCGGATATTTTTAGAAGAATAGAAAATTAATTAATACAAAAATACTAGCATAGTTATTAAAAAATTTTTTAGCATACAAATTTTGTACAGAAATAAAATTTTTAATACAGGTGATTCTCGTTAATACTGTAATACGTATCAACTCATTTGGATTAGACAATTATTGTTGATATACTGTATATGAGGGTTGATAACAAAGAGGTAAAATCGATATGTAATAGTTATTTCACGTTTTATCATAGATATCATTAAATATTACGGGTATATTATTCAGCATTGCAATGATGAATGATATCGAGATTGATTCGGGATTTTAATGATATCGACGACAAATACGTGTAATAACTGATTTATTACACGGATCCTAATTGTTCAACCATGACTTTTTTTTACCAATATTTTTACGGTTGATATTTTTTATGGCGGACTTAAAATTCATGAAAATATCAGCCGTGAAAATATCAATCGTGAAAATATCAGTAAAAAAGATCATGGGTGAACAATTAGGAGTCTTGTAATAAAGTCTGAAATCAACTTTTTACAAGTTTAGGCTGATATTAACAAGGGGTTGATATTAATGAAGTTGATACCTGTACAAAATTTTAAGTTTGTAAATGACTACAAAATTTAAATCTAATCATTGCATGAGTTTAATCACTACAAAAATTATTGTTCCTGCTTCAGAATAGATAAGATTTAGAGATTATAGATACGCATTATAAGCTTAATTTTAAAATGCAGAAACATGTAATAACTCAAGCCAGTTGAAAATAATTTTATCAATAGGTTGTTAAAGATGTAAATAGATATTGAAAATAAAACCATTTCATTTATTTTTAGTAATTATAAATCACACCGGTGGTGTTCAACACCATATAACTTTTTAAAGTAATTTTGCCAATATTTGAGGTTAAGGTTAAAAATTGGGATAAAATTAGATGTTATAAAATAATAAAAATAAAGGTTTTTTTAGGTGCTGATTATTTTTATTTAATACTGTACTGTACATCCAACCTTGGTTATTTAGATAGTTTTTGATATAGTCACTGTGGTATTAAACACTAATGGTGTGATTTAACAATACCATTTATTTTAATATTGTAAAAGGAGTTTCAAAATTAACAAATAAGTTAATTGACATATTTCGAAAATAAGATTTTTTCGATAGAATTTTTACTATGTTGAATTGTAAATCGGAAAAATAAAATAAGATTCTCTGATTTTAATTTTGAAACCCTAAATGTATTAATAAACTATTATTTTAGTTGTTTTGAAAAAATAAATTGTTAAAATTATCTATTCAAACTTAAAGGTTATGTTTTCTTTTTTAATGGATGTAATAGTAAATGATAAAGATAAAAATACTTAGCATACCGTATTTGCGCGTAATAACGCCCTTCGCGCGTTATTTTGAACCCCACGCGTTATTTTGAAGCGCGCATGCGCTTTATTTCGAGTAAAAATAAGATTTTTTCAAAATTTTATACAATCAACCCTCCGTAAGTGCACGCCCTTGGGACGATAAGAAAATTTTTTAAAAATGTGCATTTAGAGAGGTGTACATTTATGGAGGGCATTTTATTAGGCGCACTATATATTTGGCTGAAGATTAGTGTGTATTTAAAGAGGGTGCATTTATGGAGGGTTGACTTTATTTGAATAAACCAGATGGGTGATGTTATAATAACTAAACTGAACCTATTATGAAGCACAAGTTGCATAAAAGGTGGGTGCGCGTTATTTCGGGACGCTCATGGGTGATATTTTGGATAATTCAGCTAATTTTTTAAAAAAGGTAAAATTCAAATTAATGCCAGCCCGCTATTACACGCAAATACGATATGTTAGAGTTTATGTGCAATTTGATATTTAAGTTGTAGGTTTTTTGTTTATTTATATCTTCAAATTGGTTATATTTATTATAAATGTTAAATACGATGTTAGAAATATCGATACAGATTATTTTTGACCCAAAATGTATAAATTTTACTTTAAACACAAATTTCTAAATGTTAGAGTAAATTATTTATATGTCTAGCAAAGCCATATTTAAAAACTACCATAGTGTCTATTTTCAATATTCCCATGTAAAATACTCTGGCGTAAAAACCGGAGTCTCATTACAGCATTATAGCTGGTTTTCATAAATTCTGAACCAACTGAAAAATTTTCAAATCAAAAATTTATCGATCCGGTCTTGGACAATTTTTTCATTTATCCCAAGATTTATGAAACTTTTGTAATCAAGTGTGAATTTTTTTTAAAAAAATTTCAAAACTGCTTATTATAAATGCTGAGTACGTATATACTTGAAATTTCATTCTTGCAACACAGACGCACAAAGCATAATATACCCAGTCTTTTGCAAATTTTTCGTTGGGTATTTAATCAATGCACTACGGTATATGTATTTTAAATTATATTAAAAGTGATTCCTAGTTTGAAGTTGTATAACTCTTTATTATGAATTGAATCATTACAGTATATAATAGATATCAGTCTTATTATAAATAAAGTTTTATCAATTCGTCACTTACTCCGGACGGTGTTAATACACCTAAATCTGTGCACAACAATGTAATATAATCGGGTGGTGTATAATCTACTGTGGGGTTAATCGCCTAGCATTTAAACGAAAATTAATAAATGATTGGAAATATATTTTCTGTTAGTATAAAATGTCTAACCTCATAATTGCCTATAACTTCATCTTCTGATAAGTCAGTATTGTGATGCTCTAAGTCAGGAAATGTGAGTAAATCAGGCGTGTGAGTTGGAAGATCGTATTGGTTGAGTGGGAACAGACGAACAAATTTATAGCTAGCAATGTAAATATGTTAATATCAGAGTTCATTGATTTTATTAACATTACCAATCATTAGTTAATTTCGTGCTTACCTTTCGATAACTGCATAGAACGGCTTATTAGCAGCCTTTGCAACAATGGCTAACTGATAAGTGCCAATCTGTTATTTGTTGGAAATTTTACTCAGAAATTTTAATTTAACTAAATTTAAAATATTATAAATTCAATGTAAACCTTACAGCATTAATGAGCCCTCCATTTTCAACAACACCTTCTGCTCCGACAAAAACTGCATCAACTTTATCAATGACGTAACCTACTGCTGAATCATATATAACTGTTGCCGGAATCCCTGCTTTGCATAATACCTTAGTGGCTCTGATTCTAATAATAATATTTATTATTACGCACATCAGATCAATACCTAGGGTAGTAAGTGTATGGTGAATATACAAATGAAACTTACTACTTACCCTAAGCCCGAGGGTCTAGATTCAGTAACATAAACTTTAAATCTTTTTTTACAAGCTGCAGCACGTTGGAGAAGTAACATAACCACACGAGAGTAAGAATGAATCAATATTGTCTGATGAGATTATGAAAAATAAAATCGTCAGGGAAAACATATATTCTAAAAGATTCAAATTTAACATAAATGAATACGTACTGCATCATCTTTAATAAATTGTACACCTAAATCACCAATCTTTTCACGTACAGCTGCAGCTTTTTCAACGAGAACTTTCCCACTATTTATCAAATGTTCTCTACATGCTTCAAAATTCTAAACCATATTCATAACTTAATTTTAGCATAACTTTTATATGATTCAGCTAATGTAATATAGTTGTGATTTATCATTCACTCACCGTAACATCGTGTGACGTTCTTGTTACGAACCTTAAAAACAAATCAGCACCAGCTGATAATGAAATTGAATTTTTTACGGATGATTTAAGTTTTTGACTAGCATCTTTCAAAGATTCCATGAATTCCGTCAACGTGGTAGCTTACATAAAATCAAAAGATGAAATAAATAAAAAAGTTCAAAATTTTGTCTATCGTAATAAACGAACATCAATAATTCATACCTTTGCTATGTTTTATTAACTCGACAAGTGACTCTATCGCCGCAATTGGCATGGAAACGTCCTACTTTCAATGCAAATAAGTATTGTATAAAGTTCAAGTTTATTTTCACGATAAATGTGAAAACATACCGGATCATCTTTCAGAAATTGTTGATAGCACGTGACAATGTCAAATTGCTCGGCATTAGTGTTGCTTGCTGCAAAGTCGCAACTTTGCATCTTTTATTTGCGACCTTTGCGAATCCTTTTTTAAAAAGAAAAAAGACCGCAAGGTCACAAGATCATTAGTGATAATTTCCTAATTTTAGCCCGTGATTTTAGTGATTATCTGATTGGCTAGGCACGAATATTATGCAAAAATGTTACACGACGTAAACATCCAAATAAAAAGAAGACATTAATATAGTATCGTAAATTCTCGAAATTAGCGGGCATTGCGCGTTATTTCGAGTACGCCCATGGGGCGTTATTTTGAATATATAGATTTATTTTTTGAACCTGGTTTTTTCTAAAATAAAGCCACAAGTGAAAAGGCACCTAGTAGTAATTTTCGATTATTAGATCACCCAATTACAGATTGTACGCGGGTAGTTGAGGAAAAAAAAATGCAAATAAAAAATAAAACCGAAAGTTGGGCATGTCAAAGTTAAAAAAGCCCTCAATACCATTAAATATTCTTCTCTGTTTATCTACATATATGCCGAACTACCAGGAAGTTCTCATAAAACAATCCACATCTCTATCATCATTAAAATTATTCATTAATACTAGACGGTGGATGTAAATTTATTTATCTAATATATAATGGGGTGCGCGAAATAACGCTATTTCGAAAGTTTACGGTATCTAAATCCGCTAAAGGCAAAAATTCAAAGGACAATTCAATATTGAATTTTGCTATTGACTTAAGAACCTATTATAAACCTATAAAACCTATCATGAATAGTGTTGTTAGGCGAAAGGCGAAACCTAGTTTCGACTTTCGCCAAAAAAAAATAAAAATGGCGAAATGGCGAAACTGGCGAAAGGTGGCGAAAGGTGGCGAAAGGCGAAAGGTGGCGAAACTGGCGAAACTAATAAAAGGTGGCGAAACTGGTAGAAGGTGATAAATCTAGTAAAAAAGGCAAGAATAGAAAGTAATTAAAGAAAGTCAACCCACTTTTAT